AGAAACAATCCCCTCTCGTCAGATTTCTGGGCTCCTCGCCTTCGCCCTCCGCACCACACCAAAACTTCCCGTTCCTCAACGGCGGCAAGCTTACAAGGCATCACAATAGGGATTCAAGTAGCAGTGATCATAGTGATTATTTTTGCATGGTGACCCTTGCAGAAGGCACTGCAGTGCGTGCCTATGACCCCCTCATCCATCTGGTACGCATTCTCGAAATCCGTACGCCTGGCATTGGCTTTTAGACCCTACCAGGTCATTGTTTGGTTCCCATCTTAATACTTTGGCTCCCTCATTGCCCTCAGCCAAGCCTCTAGAATTCCCGACCACCTGTGGATTGCTGTGATATCGCCTGATCATGCTCCATCCATGTCCCTTGCCCAGAACAGCGTTGTGGCTAATATTGTTTCTGTTTCGAGGCTTCAGCAGCAAGTGAGAAGCACAATCACAACAATCAATGCCATGCATCATCTTGTGGCCGATTCCGAAATCCAGGGGCCTTTCATGCTGTATCCTGAATATGCGTTCGTTCCATTACGTGAAGAACCTTCGAAAGAGACCCCGGAGTAGTGGGGGAATTGTCAAGTTTGACAATTTTTGCCAGAGTTGCGAAGCGCCGGCTCCAGCGAGCAGCTCAACTGTGCGCCGCATGCACTCCTACAGGCAACCAAAAGTGTTGAAAGGTGTCCTTTGAGCCCTGGACTAAAGTTGTAGTATATCCCTTAAATAGGTCCCCCTATACCCGCCTATATATCCTCTGTACGTCCCCCCAACCTAAGTTTAGTCCGTAGCTCATTTGTTATTTATTACCTGCCTTATGGCTTGTACACTGCAACCTTTGTCCTCTTGCTATTGGAATTGCTGTTGCACTTACTGGTACTGTGCATGGTAATGGCAAATGCAAACCTTGTTTTGCTGTCCTCACTAGGATCGCCCTGGCTGAGGGATCAAAGCTAACGCTTCTTCAAGTTGAAGGGCGTCCGGTTGACACTTCAGGCTTCAAAATCTGAACATCTCACACCGCTCAGTGTGTGAGGGCACTTGCAACTTCAAAGAACAACAATCATCCACTGTCAGGAGAGACTCTTAATCCCACTACCTCACATGACCCAGATTTCGTCATCACATTATCCCTGTCTACCTCGGCAGTCCAATCAAGACTCTGTCGACTAGCAAGGTCTCCGGGGTATATAGATTGAAAAGGAAGGCCTCCGTATAATGTTGATGCTTGCTAAATGGCCCCAAACATTACGGCTTTGTACCTTCCACTAGGGACTGCCAGTGGTTTCAAATTCTAGACCAGGCAGAACAACGCTGGTCACCGGGGACCTCATGGAGGGCTTCAGCCCTGGAACCTTCCACACATAAGAACCCGTTTGCTTTGAATCATATAATGCCCTTACAGGAGTCTAGACTATAGCTCATAAAAAATCTCGGGGTGCTGTCCTCGCCAGCTTCGGCCACTAGCAGCCAGCCCACATCACTCGTAGCTGTCGAAATAGTTCTGCCTTTGTGTGCTGGGGCCTGGCGAGAATGCTGACTGGGAAATCTTGTCATTATGGGCGGCGTTTGATGTTGAGTCCAGACAAAGTCTCTACTTCATCCCGTAAAAAAACATGTGAGATGCATTCATAAAAGCCCTGGAAAGTTTTGGGAGGGCATGAGAAAGAGAGCATCCCATGCTAGTCATGAACACCAAACCCTAAAACAGCGGTCCCCCTCAACTTCAAACATGCCATGATCTAATTCATTGCCCTAAGGCCAATACCAACCACGCACTTAACAGTCTCTTCAGACATTAGTCTTGAACATAAACGTCCTTAACAGGAAGAGATCATTGCTCAAAGAACCGCTGCAAAATCCGTAAAGCCCCCGCAACATGACCGAAACAGTCACCTGCCCCTACCACAGCACTCGGCAATGCTTCCAATTTAGGAAAACCCCTACACCTTGAGGGGAAGCCGCACCCCAGCCGAAAAAATGTTGTGCCCCGCCGAAGAAAAAGGCGATTTTGACAAAGCTCTGAGGTCTTTCCGCATGACCCAGACTTTATACAGTCCTAAAAGAATCCCTCGCCTAAATAATAGTGCTACAGGGGCAAGGCCTTTGCTGCCGGGGCAGGCCCCGGAGGCTTTGGAACCATGGCTGGCTCCTGGTTTGTCTCATAGAGGATTCGGCACGTTGTGGTAAGTCATAGTCTAATATCACATATTATAGGGATAATGAAAAGAAAATGGAAACTACTACTCTAATGGGGTCTATATAAGGTAGTTTAAACTCCTAGCATCCCCCTTAATAACCCCTATAGTAATCCCCTTTCTAATCCCCTGTAGAAACCCCCCTTTTAAGGAGTTTAGACTATGGCTCATGTAGGATTATGGGCTTAGGATTTAGCAGTTGATGCTAAGTTTGGTGGCCTTGGGTTTTCAGGGTTCCGGATTGATTGACTTCACGGTTTAGGGGTTAGGGTATGATTCAGGATTTACTGTTTTGAGCCGCGACAATAATGCCCCCTAATATATCAAGGTCTCGTAAAACTAATACCATCAGGCAGGGGGGGGGCGCTGGATTGACGTTACAGGGAAGGGATTCATTCCGGTACTTGTTGCTATGGTGGTTTGCAGTAGTTTCCGTTTTCTTTTCCATTCTCCCTATAAATAGACCCGATATGTATATATATATACACATACACATACACATATATATATATATATGTATCCTATAATCCCTATATAGCCCCATTATAATGTACTAGTTTCCATTTTCTTTTCCATTCTCCCTATAGTAAACTGCAATATACTGTAATAACTCTAACATACGATAATATACTAGAATATACTATAATACACCACAACATACTACAATACACTAGAATCTACTATAATCTACTTTACTATAATCTACTATACTCTACTATATAGGTATATAACAACCCAGCCCGTCCTGGCGGAGCGGCCTTAGAGCCATCATGGGCAGGGAGCCCTCGGCGGCCTTGGTGGACACCTCCAGCCCGATCAGGTCAGCCTGCGCTGTCTCTGGCAGCCCCTGAATCATAGCTGGGTTACTGCTTAGGAACTTAGCTTAAGTTACTATGTTGGGGAAAACCGTATGAATTGCTATATACATATACATACCCATTATGGTAACTTAGTTTAGGTCACTATATCGGGGAAACCATATAAATTACTATATATATATACCCATTATGGTAACTAATTTAAGTTCCTCAACAGCAAATCAGATAGGGGGGAAGAGAAGGTTTGAAGGGAAGGGGTTATGCCATCCCAAAGCCTCTCCACCAATGGCTGAAGATTTCCTAACTCAGGGTTTAGGGTATTTAGGGTTGGGGTTTAGGGTTGAGGGTACATCCCAAATTGTAGCCTCTAATTTTGACTGATACAGAACTACTGTTGCAAATTGGGAGCTGAGGGCGTGGCTTGACAGGAAAGTGGTGGTTTCCCAAAATTAGAATACCTCTGCATGACCCCCAAGATACTATAACCCTTATTACAGGACTTCCAACAAGTACACCTAATTTTGGGAAATTACTTAATTTTTTCTATATCTCATACGACCATGAATGCAAGCGGAGGCCTTATCCAGCTGCCTTTTGCTCCCTGCTTCGTCCAGGAAGATGAGCAGGTGGTGGCCGCAAACGCCCAGCTTGTACTGGCAAGGAAGTAACAGATTAGAGTGTAAGTAACGCTCTTTGGGGCTTAGGGTTTAGGGTGTAAGAGCTAAGAGCTTCTTCTACTACTACGATGACTACCACTACCACTACTGTTGCCACTACTAGTACCCATCCTCCTTCTGCGGCTATGGCTGCTGCTACTGCATCTGCACCCGTTGTTACATCACAGCTTCCATCACTTCTGCCACGCCTACTCGACTGCTACTCCCAGCGAGACAAATCAAATCCTGATAAGACACCACGCTCATAAATTGCGACGTTTTGAAATGATACATTCCCCGTGACAAGGAGCAATGAGCAGGCAACGCTGCCTTCTTGTTGGCATCGGCCTTGCCCTCATTAAAGATGCTCTCCAATCCAGCTACCGGTGCTGGCTGAGGGATGCCCTCTGGAGACCTGAAGAAATGAAGAGGGTTTTTGAAATAACGATCCGAGAGCATGCAATTTGTATAGAGCGTATGGGAAGAAATCATGGGAGCATGCAGGAAACAGTGCACGGGAAATATCGTGGTTTCTATGTCCGCCCCAAATGGAGACATAGGCATTGTGACAGCCCCCTCAAGAGATGCAACCAGCCCTTCCTGATTTCCCATACCCAATGCAACATGTCAGGTTGAGAGCAATGGCAAGCATTCCTGGGCACGTTTCAGGCCGTGGCTCCTCGTGAACTGCATGTGGCCTGACAAAGCTTGCTCCCACGCACTGCAGCAGAGCTTCTCAAGAAACGATACAGCTAGAGCAAGCACTTCTTGTGCAGGCGCAAATGGCATGTGTACATGAATGACGTCCACGTTGCAGCAACTTTCAGGTCCTGCCTTACGAACGCCAACAGTTGCATGGGAGGGCTCGGAACATCGGCAGGTGGCCCGCCATCATCAGCACCGCCCTTGGCAGGTCCTGGCCCAGGAATGACAAACTCTCCACGCCTTGAACTAACAAGTGATCAAAAGCATGGCCTTTGCGGGCCGTCTTCATGGGGAACTACCCAGCGTTGTCATGACGCTGGACACTCATTCACTTGAGCTGGCGGCGGAGCAACGGCAAAATAACTGTCCTTGGCAGTGAAACTGCCTGGTGAGCAAACCCTCGCTAGCGCAGTCAGATTCACAAGGCAAGCTAGAAACTCATGCCTACCACAGGTCTAGTAGACTACAGGATTTCCTCCCACGCATCTGACTCTGCAATGGACCGACGCGTAAGGCTTCCTTATGAGCAATGGATGGCCAAAGGCTACACCGTAAGGTGCCAAGGTTTAATTCGGAAGTGCTATGCTCATTTGCAGCTTTCCGACGCAAGGCAACAGTCTCTGTCAGAACTCCACTTGCGCCCAACCACGCTGGGCAACATGCACCCGTGCCAAGTCCGCCATGTAGTCTGTGCTGCCGACACCATATTTGGAGGAGATTGCTTTCAACAACCACCGCTTGGCATTCTCGGTGTCGCCTTTTGCCTGGAAGGGGGATTCGCCCTGTCTCTACACTTGAAGCTGTTGACATGCCCGCCTCATAGAACAAGCCCAAGTAGAGGCTGGAGTAGAAGCAGTCAGAGCCACCACCAGCAGAGAGCTCTTCCAATGATGCAATGGATTTGGCATCATCATCGCCCCTAAACAGCGTCATGGCAGTGCGCATCACTGGCCTGGGGTCCACACCTACGGTCAGAATCTGCCGCCGTGCCTCTTGAAAACCATTCAGCTGTGCTTCGCACAGGAAAGCCCAAATGGACTCTTCAGTGTCATTGGGATTCATCTCCACATCCTTTCTGAACTGCTCCGATCCAGCTTTGAAGTCCTTCGCATAGTACAGGGACAGTCCACGTTGCCAAAGCCTGGCCTGACAGACAAACGGTTAAAAATGAGTAAGACGGCTGAGCTGCCGTGATGGTACGGAACACGAAAAATCATAGCTACAGACACTCTAGATTTCAAACCACTTCATGACAGATACACGCCTTCGGATACCCTGACTCTGCAGCTTTGTCGAATAAGTTGATGGAATCTTCGACACGGTTCTTCTTGAATGCCTCCATACCATCTTGTAAGAGAAGATACGGATTGCCACCTTTGGCGGTTGCTGGAAGCGGAGTTCCAAGAACCGCTGCAATCATGACATCAAGCGAAACCTTCTCCCTGCGGGTCTTGCAGGGGCCTTTGCTGCTTGCAGCAACCGAAGTGAAAAGTCTTCGGGTCTGGCTACGCCTCTGCTGCACCAACTTCGCTCCGAGAACCAGTGACGCTACCAATGTAGTGGCTCGCCAAGCTGAACGAACATCAACAACACCTGCCCGCGCTTGGCTCTGGATGCGGCATGAATTGTGTTGGGTTATCACCGTTGGCACCGGTGATCCACACACCACGGGAGGGCGCAGCAGATCCATGTTGTTTTTGATCTTGAACGGAGTTGCTGGGGCCAAACATGCCAAAACTGCAACGATGCAAGCTTACGATGGTGGGTGAATTTGCTAAGAAAAATGGAAAATACAATCGAAGCGACTAGAAGAATCCAAACAAGACTTCACATTGAACATGAGTTGCACAGCTGTAGGGAAAACCAAAAATTCACGACTGTGTATTTAGCAGCCAGAAAAAAATTGCAAAATAAATGTGCAGTGACATCACTTCTGAACAAGGATTGGATAGCCGAGCAGGCAATCTGCATGTTAATGCCGCGCATGTCATGTAATTATGACAACAACTCAACTGCCTCAACAAACGCAGCTTCAAACATATTAGACAAACAACGCAGCCCGTTGGGACGTTCTGCAGTTGGCTTGTAAACACACAGCACTGGCTGCATCCACCTATGTATTTGAAAGGCTATGCCAAGTTTGGTCCTGCAAATCTGGCATGCCACAACACCCCGGTCTTTCCAACTGCAGATAAACTGACTCCATGAAAGTTGGACATGTACTACAAGTACAAATCACACCATCGCGAAAAGTTGTACAGTTTGGCAACAACCATCTCTGCAGTGGCATGGAACAAATCACGAAGCATGACACTTGAGTGAACGTGTGACAAATCATGCGCTAACTGTGGGCACGGCGTCCGTGCAAAACCTGGCATGTCGAATATGTACACAGAGCATACAACAATTCCTGAGCAGACATCCTCGTGAACAGGCAGCATTTCGGCCTGAAAAACATGCAAACTGAGACGACTCCACTGCTGCGCCCTTCGCAACACAGCAATCATGACCTTTGCTGTCCACCCACAATGCGCAGCATAGTCCCGATTCCGCATTTTCACAACTTTCCGGATGTTTTACTTCTGACTAGCATACGTCACCCATAAAGATAACAGTAAGCTGCAACTCGTGTTTCATGAGCATCGCAGAGATCTGCCAACACCAGCCAGAAATCAACTGCGGTGCTCACGGCCATCAATCCGAAGTGCCACAACCAAAACTAGGTTTGGCCGAAACTGTTGTTACCCAGGCGTGCTTTAAAACCCAAAACATGGCAAATGAATATCAAACAAAGGAGAACATCAAAATCAGCGGTCCATGAAAAAAAGGTCAAAACAAACATCAAACGTGAACTACTGGATTTTGTGCCGGCTAAGGCGAAATGCAGCCTTGGAAGAGCCGCCAAGATGGAAAAAAAAATACGGGTCAGGGGGCGCAATGAAGGCAAATTGAAGCAGATGAGAATGCCGCGGCTTCAGGGAAACAAGAACGTTTAAATACCGCACGTCTACTTTTGTAGCGTGGGAACTGAGGCCAACAGTAGCGACAAGCGGTAAGCTAATCATTCATTACACGTCATGCGAAGTCATGCTGGGAGAGGGGCCCTGGGTTGTAAAAAGGAGGGCAATTGACGTGGGTTAGGGTGGGTTGGCGTGGGCACAGCCTGTCCTTTTGCGAACGGTCAATGTATGTGGCAACAATGTAAAAATTGATCTGGAATCATAATGGGTTTGTTGCAAGTGAGGCCATTCTGACAGAAACTTGCATGGTAGGGAAAATGCCCTCCATTTGCAAAGCGATGAAACAAGTGGCAACAATGCATGGTTTGGTCAACTCAAAATTCATTTAAAAAATTCATGCCAGGTCATTTGGAAGACGGGCAACTTTGTTCCAAAAGCGGGAGCGGGCATAGATCATTGTGGTATGTGGCAACAAGGGAAAATTGATCAGAAGTCATACAAAACCGCGTTGCAAGCGAAGCCATTTGGGGTCCAACTCTCCTTTTCCTAAGAACCACGCCTTTAAGCCGCCCTTTTTGCGGACCTTTCCCATACCTTATTGCAGTTGTGATCAAAGTCTTGTCAAAATTGAATTCTATATTCAATCAGGCAACAAGTGGTCCAAAAGTTTATATTTCATATAAAATATTCAATCGCAACGGAAGTCAGTGACTTGAATGTACTCACCGTTCACAACTAAATGCATCGGACGGATTTCTTTTTTTCCAATGGGGCAAACGACGTCTGGCTGTTGCTGGTTGCTTCAAGCGGAGGCGTTACAGCCACAAGAACGGAATGCATGTGACGTGACCATCACGACAAGCGTGTATGCCCTGCATACATCTTTGAGAATCATTTTGGCACATGACTGTTAGTTCACTCCCCACTACCGCTCGTCATGCGCAACCCGCGCCAGGTCGTCTGCCAAGTTCTGACACAGCATGCTTTCAACAAGTTGCGCATCTCTTCACTGGTCCATTCGATCTTTTCATGGACATAGCTATCATCATAGCTGGCAAAGTCAAGGCGCGATGCTGGATAGCTAATGTTCGCACAAGAAGGTACTCTCGTGTACCAATGATACGCACACAACATGTTGTCGACCTTAGCTGACACACACAGCATGTTGAGTGAGTCGTCAATCTGGGAAGTGCACGAACCATAGGCTGCCCGTGCTGCGTCGTTATCCAAGAGCCACATGACTCTCCTTTTATAAAGGTGAATTTTCCAGATGATCTTACTGACCAGCACTGGCAACATCTCGGCTTGACCCACCAACTGTTTCTTACCGTCCCTCTTGCACGTGTCTGATGTTTTCTTTGGAATCTCCTCGCCAAAGAACTTTTTGATGCCCTTCGAAGCATCATGAAAGACCACCTGACCATCCTCTTCGCAAGCACCGTCGGTGAAAACAATTACGGGCATGCTGTTGATCAATGCCTCCACTCGCCTTGGGGGAGTCTCCTTGATCGTTTCCAAGGTTTCACGAAGCAGCAACACATCTGCATTATTCAGCGTGTTACTCGGGTTCTGTGCAGTACACCGCGTCAGGACTCTCACAGCACACATGGCTACTCAACTCTACCGAATGTATGAGTGGACGCATACATCAACTTACCCTTCAACTTGGCCAGTTTGGTATAGTGCAATTGCTTCCTGCTGCAAACAGATTCGATGACATCTTCAAGCGCTTCCAGCGACCGTCTTTGTTGCCGACCTCAAGAACGCCTTGAAATGTTTTGCTAAGATTGAAGCTGGCCCCTAGCAGATGACGCACCTTGGCAAACGGCAAAGCTTGGCGCTCCTCTTCTGCAACCCTCCACCCAAGCATACGGAAAATCAAACTTGCTGCCTCGGTAGCGGACTGCGTCAATGAATCTTGTCAATTTAGCAGAAATCATCGTAAAGGTTCGTCACTACCAACTTCATTAGCCTGATTAGAATTTTCCTAAGAGCTGAACCTATTCTGTTGAAGGCTGTCACTGAATGTGACGATCCGAAAGGCAGCGTCGCAAACCTGTAGTGCCCCAAACTTTTTTCAGGATCCCAAGTTCGCAAAATCGATGCCCAAGCATCTTTCGGATTGCTGGCTAATTGCTTGTACGCTGACTTTAAATCGACGGCTCGACCGCTCAGGCCTTGGTTCTGGGAATGCTTGCCTGACGTGACATGCCTTATGAAAATCCGCACCGTCTCAGCAACCGTGTCAAGATCTTGCATTGCCAAATGGTTCTCATGTCCACAGGTCGCATTAACACATGATGCTTTTAGGTCGTCAATGGCTCTTGTTTTAGGTCCTCAGAGTTAACATGGGTTGAACCCAGGTTCGACCCCCTTTTTTTGTCCGTGTGGGCGCTACTCTTAATTCCGGAGTCAATCGCCAGTAAGACACGAAGTGTAGAAAATAGCACAAGACACTAATTAAGCCAAGAGCACGTAAAATGACAAATGCACTTTCGTGTCTCTGACGAACCAACTCACTGAATCTTCGGCAATCATCTTGTGTGAAAG